CCCGGCCAGGGATGGGGCAGCCACAGCTCCTCTGGGCACCCTGTGCCAGCGCCTCAGCACCCTCCCAGGGAAGAGCTTCTGCCCCAGAGCTCATCTCAATCTCCCTTCTGGCAGGTTCAAGCCATTCCCCTTGTCCTGTCCCTCCATCCCTTGTCCAAAGCCCCTCTCCAGTTTTCCTGGAGCCCCTTTAGGCACTGGAGCTGCTCTGAGGTCTCCCCAGAGCTTTCTCCAGGCTGACCCAGCCCAGCTCTCAGCCTGTCTTCAGTAACAAATAACTGCAGCACTCCACTCTGCGGTCCCCTGAGTTTACATTTTTAGGGTGAAGGATGAACAAGCTGCTATTTCTCATCCCTTTCCATGCTTTCAGCTTGCTCTATGTTCATAGATTACAGATTTCAGTTAACTGAGAGCTTGATGCTTACACAGCAGCAGGAAGCAAGCAGGATCAGTGCAAAGTTAGGAGTGAACCAGCAGCACCTGGGTCAAAAAGAGAAGTCAGGAAGTGACTGGATGCTGCCTTCACCACCTCCTGCCCCTGCAGGCAGACAGTGGTTCTTATGCCTTTACAAAGCAGCACAGTGAGGACACTTTGAGTAGCTACCTGCTGCTTGATACACAAGCACTGGCTGCTGCTGGCCCCAGGGCAACTGCCATGAGCTGGTTTTTGTGTCCCATGAAAGCTTTATTTGGGTAGATACAAAAGAGGGGGCTCTGTTATTGAGGATCCTCGCCATGCTCTGAATGCTGCTGCTCCTCCTCCTCCTCTTCCTCCTCTGCTTTGTGTTTTTCCAGTTTTGCCATGAGCTCTGAAAAACATGAATGGGCAGGATGAGAGTCGGGTGCAGGAGCCATCCCATGCCAGGATGGGTGCCCAGGTCCTGGAAACACCCATCTCCACACAAGCCAGGCCAGTTTCCTACAACCATTCACCGACAGAGCGGCTCAGCTGGGAGCTGGCCACTGGCTCCTGCAGCCCCAGCACCCGAGGGGACAGCCTGAGTAACCAGGGGGGCAGCCAGGACCAGGCAGGCTGCTACCTCTGCTCCCACAGCACATCCCTCACCAGGGGTCCTGCTCCCCACCTTCCCCATTTGGGCAAGGGCAGATGCTCATTTTGCACCTATGGAGCCACCCAGGCCATGATTGAGTACCTCCTGCCACTCAAGCAAGATCTGCTGGGAGCTCCAGCCCCAGGGTGACCCACCAGAAGCTGGTGCTGCTCTGGCTGCTCCCCTGGAGGCTCCCACTCTCCCCCCCGGGCGCCCGTTACCTTTTGCTGGGTTGAAGACTCCGTTGGTTTGCTTGTCGCACACGTAGCAGCGCTGGGACCTGCGGTAGTGTTGGAGGGCACAGCTCTCACAGAAGTAGTGCCTGCACCTGGGAGGAGGCACAGAAGCCACTGCAGGTCACCACAGACAGTCCCTGTGCCCAGCAGTTAGACATTACTGACTACAGCGCCCAGGGAATGCAAAGCCAGCTGCACATAGAGCTTCCTCTGCATCACTGTGCCCAGGGAGGATGTTCTGGTGCTGTTCCACTGCCGTGATGGCACAGAGCCACCAGTGAGCTCCTCCAGGCACCAGGTACCCAGCAAGAGAGCCAGCAGCATGGGAGAGGGCTGGCACTGCAGACTGCTCCTCATCCTCACAAGCTCCCATGCTTCTGTTTCTCTGCTCACACAACGCAGTGTGACACTGTGTCCAGGAGGAATGAAGGCAGGAAAACAAAAGGAGAAAGATGGAAGCAGCTGGTGCCTGGACAACAAAGGCTTGAGGTGCCTTCCATGGAGATGCTCCACTTGCAGACTTCCTGGTTACCAGAGGACTCCCCACCCACAGAAAGCCCTGGCAGACAAGCAGCAGGTTCCACCCACCAGCCTGTGGCACTGTTTGTGTTTGCCTCCACAGGGAATGAGTAATGAAGCGACTCGACAGCAGACACACTGCTCCTCATGCCAAACCCACCACTTACTTGGTGACCACGGGGTTCTTGAAGGAACTTCTGCAGATGAAGCATTTGAAAGGCATATCCTCCTCATCGCTGCTCACCTCATAGTTTTCCTCATCTGCAGAAGACACAGGTAACCAAATGGGAGCAAGAGCAGAGGCAGCCAGCCCAGCCCGTGCGTGGGGTGTGAGGTATTAACTGCAGAGAGGGCAGCAGGTGCGATTAAATCTGTGCTGGAACTACCAGAGCTCTGGCATCTGGGTGCTGCTATGTCAGGAACACACGGGGGACTGAGATATAACTGGGTCTAATGAGCCAGCCTGCTTGTTGCTCATCTCACAGGAGCAAATTCTTTTCTCCCTCACCCACTCACTGCTATAAAGAGCAATATCCTCCAGCCCCCTCCTTTTTAACTGCGATTTTCTTCCAGACCAGCTGCCACCAAACTCTGCCACCAGCTGAGCAGAGAACACCCTTTCCCCCACCACTGCACAGTGGGTGATGAGCTGTGGGCCACAGCTATGGGCACTGAATGATAGAATCAACCAGGCCGGAAAAGGACCATGAAGTCCAACCATAGCCCCAGGACTGCCAAGGCCACCACTAGCCCATGAGAAGTCAGGAAGGTGGTCAGCAAACATTCCCCTTTCCCTGTGAGAAACAACAACAGCATCCCACCTCCTGGGCACCTGGAGGGGCAGGAGATGGTCCCACCTCCCCAGCTCCACGCAGCTCACTGCTGGGACCTGTGCAACAGCAGCACTGTCCCTTTAGAGAGAGCCAGAGGGAAGAATTCTCTCTGGTGGCAGCCAGTGATTACCTGAAAGCAGCAGATTTGCTCAGCCCTGTCAGGGGGTACTGGCACTGAAGGTTATCCTGCAGCAGGGAGTTCCACAGCTTTGGAATAAAGAATCCTTTCTGTCTAATATTAATTCAACCCATGGCCCATGCAGTTTGAGATGGCAAAGGACCCATTTCATGGAGTCACAGCCTGGTTTGGGTGGGAAAGGACCTTAAAGCTCATCCAGCTCCAACCCCCTGCCACGGGCACCCTCACAGGGAAGAACTTTTGCCTAATATCTAACTCTCAGTGATCCAGCCCCTCCAAAGCACGTTCTCCTTGGGTGTGACGAAAGGCAGGACCTGGGAACCTCCCCCCCGTGAGCTCAGGGGCTGATGTACCATTGACTCCGTAGCGGCCCTCGTCCAGCTCCCGCTCGATCTGCCACCCGTGCTTGTAGTCTGAGCGGTCATGGAGGAACTTGCAGCTGTCTGAGGAGCACAGAGAGCGAGCAGTGAGCGCCCCGGCTGCGCGGGGCACTGGTACCAGGGCACCTCCTCCGGGGGCAGCCTGAGCTGTGCCCAGCAGAAGGGGACTCCTGGTTGCTTGGATCAGATCCAAGTGCGCTGCCTGGATCAGGCCCGGAGCAGCAGGTGCAGGAGCTGCTCACCTCCAAAGCCACAGAAGCCAGTCTCTTTGTAGTCCTTGCAGATGTCGGGCTGATAGTCCCATCGCACCGTGGCCCTCAAGTGCTCTGGAGCTCGGATGGGTCCTTTTCTGAAAGGGTGGGAGAAGGCTCAGGCCGGCTCTGCAGCTGCAGTGGAGAAGGCCCCTGGGGGCCTGGTCAGAACCAGACACCAAACTTGTTAGAGAGAAGCTGGCGGAACCAGTGAAGTTCAGGCCCCAAACGGGTGCTGTTGGGGATGGTGCCTGAGCTCCTCTGTGGTCCCAGTCCTCTGAGGCTCATCCCAACCTACCTGACCATTCCTGATGAGGCATTTCCCATGGATGTGTCCTTGGGCTTCACATACTTCTGGTAGTTGTTAATGCCACGGTAAATTTTATCATCTTCTTTTCCTCTCAGCTCCTAAGAAAGCAACAAGAAAGATGATTAAAGATCAGGAAAGCTTCATAACGTGGATTAGCTTTCACCACTGTGATACCAGGTCTCCCTTCCCAGCCCTGCCATCCTTAATACCAAATTCTTTGCACTTTTGGCTTCTCCTGTTTCCAGATAGGAAGAGGAAATGAGGGATGAGTAAAGCACATGCACCCCTGCTGCAGAGCACCAGCTCTTCACAGAGGAGGCCCACTCACCTCCTGGATTTTCTGGCTGCGCTCGAAGATGGCCTGGGCATCCTTCTCCTTCTCCGTGTCCAGTTCATACACTGCTGTGGCTCCCATGTCTTCTGGGCCCACAGGTTTCTGCAAAGCGAGAAGAACTTGTGACAAGAGTGAAGAGAAAACCTGTACGGGACAGAGAGCTCCTTGGCTACCTGGAGGGTTGGTCACGGAGCAGGTACTGGACATGGCCTGCTCTACCTTCCACCACTTTCTACAGCCCCTTAGAGAGAGAATCCCACGTGAGCTGGATCCAGCCTTGTGCTGGCAGAGGCCAGTGCCAACTCCCCACTGCTCCCAAGTTTTAGCCTGCAGAGCCAGGAAACACTTGTCCTTACTTTACTCCTTCACCCCCGCCCCGAAGCTGAGGTCCCTGATGTCCAACACTTCCATCGTGAGACCCCTCCACCTACACACAGGATGTTGTGTGACCTTGTAACCCAGCTGTGGGTGGCTTTCACTCCGTTTTAATACAGCTTAAATCTGGTTTAGATTCCTCCTTAATGGACCAAACAGACACCTCTTCCCAGGTTTTATCTTCGGGAACAGCTGCACAGAAACCGAAGCAGAGTTAGAGCCAGCCTCAACTAAAACCAAATGCAACAGAGGTGCCAAAAGCTTCTGGAGCCCCAGGGCTGTTACCCCCTCCTGTTCCCTTCTCATTCCCTACAGCAAGGAGGGCTGACAACACACTGCTCCCCTTGGCAGCAGCCAAAGCACAAGGTTTTATTCATATTCATCTCTGATGTGACAAGGAGATCTTGGTCTGACCCTGCAGCTTTGACCTGGGGACATTATTACCACTTTACATAGAGGCACAGAAGGAAACGGGTCTGAAGAGGAACTTGTGTTGATACCTGCTTTTAATCCTCCTTATTTCCTGCCCAGGCTCATACTGATGGGCAAAACTTCATTGGATCAGGAGGAAAATCCAGTGGGAACAGCAATTTGAGCTGTGCCCAAACCTGCAGAGCTGATTCCACTCCTGATGTTCACAGGAGACCCACAGCCATCAACCCCGAGGAAACAATGACCGCTCTCTGCAGCTCTCTCTACTCACAAGGACAAGGAGGGGTGCACCCCCTAAGTCACCCTGACTCCTCTGTGGAGGGAGATGGTGTAAACCTGAAACCACAAACCCAGCACTAAGGCAAACCTGACCAAGAGCTCCCCCTCCTGTGCCACGGTGGCCTTTAATTCCCCTCCCTCAGACACAGGCCAACCCGAGGCCTCCCGAGGATGCAGGGGGAGAGCAAACCCGAGCCCTGCCCGTTCAGGGGGAAGGGGCCGGGGGGCGCAGCTGCAGGTAAAGGGGAGGCTGGGCTGATCCCGCACTGGCAGAGGCAGGTTCCCTCCTCCAAGGGTGGGATCTCGCGGCCCGCTCGCTCCTTACCGCCGACCTAGTGGATTTGTAAGTGACCCCGATCTCCTTCGCTGGATCCTCCTCGTCGCTGCTGCTCAGCGCATACTCCGGCCTCTCCTTCGTGCCCCT